CCCCCCCCTCCCCTCCCCAAGGCAACAAACCCCCTCTATCGAGCAGCTGCATCAACTGCAGCAACTGCAGCAGCAGCACCGCCACATCTCCCACGCGTGGCAGCAACTGCGGCCTCTACTACTGCTACAATACAGCAGCTCCTCCCGTCCTTGGCTCCCTCTTTCTCTTAGTCTGTGTGCAGCAGGGACCGCTGAAGCCTGCTTGCAACAAAGGAGAGCAACACGTGTTCTCCTTAACACCTCTTCTCCTATTTATTTTTCATAAAGGGGGCCCTTCAACAAATCCTTAAGCGGGCCTCTTTCAACTTGCCGGCTAGCTTCTTAAGCCGTATGCATGCAGCGTTTGGGGCACTCCTGAGTCTCTTTACGGGGTGGACGGCGGGCAGACGCCTCGTGGGGCCCTGTATTTGCAACCACGCAGCAACTGCAGAAGCAACAGCAGCAGCAGCTAGGAACAACAGCAGCACCTCTAAGGGAGGGCTGCTGCAGTCTCTTGCTTTCCTTTCTGTTAGTATAGCAACAGGCACAGCACGCGTACACCTGAGGAGGCCTGGGTATATTTGAGTTTCTTCTTGTCTTCGTCTTTCTTCTTTCTCCCTTTCCTCCTCGTTATTATTTTTATTTAAGTCGTAAGGACTGCAGCAATTGCTCGCTGTCTATACACTGCAAAGTTCCTGCAGCTTTTTCATATTCTCCTTCAATCTACTGCAGCACAACGCACTCCAGCGAGCCTCCAAAGAATAAACCAGCAGCAGCAGCAGCAACACACTGAAGCACGCCTGGCCACACACTAGGTCATGCGGTAAGATATTGGGGCATTTTTCTGTTGCATGCGCTGTCTCTGCAGATGCAGCAGCAGCCTGAACAGGGCATGTAGCAGCAGCTTCCGATCCTGCTCCGGGTGCATGTGCCGCTTCTGCTGATGATGATGCTGTTGCTGCTGGTGCTGCAATTTCTGCGGGTGGTGCTGATTCTCGCTGTGCCACTCATGATGCTGGTGTACATTGTGCTGTTGGTGGTCGTACTGCTGCTGTTGTTGCTGTAGTAAATGTTTCTTTTGCTGTTTCTGTGTGTGATGTTGTTGCAGCTGTTGCTCTTGCTGCTGTGGCTGCTGCTGAGGCTGCTGCAACCGTCTTGTCCTTCTGCGGTCCGTAACGAAGGGCTGCTGGCTTTCTCCGATGTAAAGCGCCTCTGCTTAGCTTCCCGGCAGGCGCACACTTGATTTGTTAGGGTTTAGGGTTGAGGGTTTTCGAGTCCGGATTCAAGACGTTCCGGCAAAGTCTTCAACTTACACTGCGCCGCCTGCCGTTTCTGTTGTTGTCGTTGCTGCTACTCCTTTGCTTCGTTAAACGACGAGGCAGCAACTCTGGGCTCTGCATGCAGCAACAGCAGCAAAACAGCAGCAGCAGCAGCAGCGGCAAGTGAGGCTTCTTGCCTGAAGGCCTCAGCGGGAAATGCGCTGCGAGACTGTGCAGCATCTCTAGCAGTCTGCTGCTGCGGGCCGGCTAAGAAATTCGAGCAGCAGCGGCAGCAGCAAGAGACAGTCATAAAAATCCTTCATCGCCAACTGTATATGACGCCGCCGCTGCAGTGCTCGGGGGCCCCACATAAGCAGCAGCCGCTCCCCGAACAGCACAGGGGCCCCATTGCTTTCCACTGCTGCTGTCTGCTGCCCTCGTTCCCCTTTGGGAGCAGCAGCAATGGCGGCTGTCTCCTCGGGAGCTGCAGCTGCAACACCAGAGGCTCCGGCTGCCTTCTCCAGGGGACAGCTGCAGCACGATCTGCAGCTATGTATAGCCCCCCCGACAATGAACCAGCAGCAGCAGCAGCAGCAACAGCAGCAGCAGCAACAACAACACCAACAGCAACAGCAGCAACAACAGCAACAACAGCTGTTGCTGCTGCCGCAGTTCCCCCAACCTCTGCAGCAACCGCGGCATCAGCCTCTGCAGCAGCAACAGCATCTCGCTTTGCAGCAGCAAAAGCATGCTGAGAGTGTCTCTGCAGCAACCCCCTTGCTGCTGTCAGCACCAAACCCCACATCCAAGTGGATGTGGGGCTTTGAGGGGGGCCCTAAGGTGTCTGCGCAGCAGCCGTGGCTTTCCCTAGGGGATCCTAACGGCATTGAAGGCCCCGCAGATACTGTAACAGCTGCTGCTGTTACTGCTGCTGCGACGTCTGGAGGAGCAGGAGCGGGAGCAGGAGCAGTGCCTGCAGCAGGAACAGCAGCTGCAGCAGCAGCTGCTGCTGCATTTGAAGGGGGATGCACCAGCAATGGAATATCACTTCCTCTACACAGCATTCCCCCTTTAAACTCCGACGCTACATTCAACTTGCATGCGCCGCTGGGGTTGCATACAGCCTCAGGGGATAAAACTCCCGTCATGCAAATAGAGGCTTCCGTCTGCTCGGCTGCTGCTGCTGCTGCGGCAGCAGCAGCAGCAGCGCGCAGCTCTTCTTCATCCCTGAAGACACTGGCTCAAAATCAGCAGACAACAGAAGGTAAGCATGAACTTACACGTCCGACGGAGTGGGCCTCTAGAAGAGGGGGCCCCATCATGTGTGCTGCACCTGTCGCGGAGTTACTGCACTCCTAGCTACTGCCGCTGCTGTTTTTGGTGTTACTGCTACTGCTACTGCTGCCTGAACGCAGGCTTTGATCGATAGTTGCTGCTGTTGTGGGGTGGGACTGCTGCAGGAAGCGATTTAGGACTTTTGGCTACGTGCTGCATAGATCAGGGCCCCCCAGGTCTCCAGTTAGGAGGCAATCAGCAGCAACGGAAGCAGCACATGCAGCAGCAAATAACTAGGGGACAGCACATCTTTACGCAGGGCCCACCTCAGCTGTCCCTCTGCCAACAGCAGAAGGCAAGAACGCCGCTCCAGCCACTGCAGCAGCAGTTGCAGCAGTTGCAGCGGCAGCAGGTCCCAAACGCGCATATGAATCCTCCACAGTTGCAGCAGCAGTTGTTGCAGTTGCAGTTGCAGCAGCAGTTGCATCTGCAGCAACAGTTGCAGCTGCAACAACAACTGCACTTGCAGCAGCAGTTGCAGCATCAGTTACATCTGCAACAGCATCCCCAACAACAGTCAAACGAGCAGCACATGCTGCAGCAGCAGCGGGGACTGCGGGTGCAGCTAGAGCACAGTTTGCTGCCTGATGGACAAGGGCCTCTCTCCAAATCCTCGCTGAAAGAAGGGTCTCTTAGTTGCTGCAGCTGCTTGAACAGGTGGGGGGGTGCCTTTGGAGATCTGCCACCAGCAGCAGGAGGTGGCGGAGGTGCTGCTGCTGCAGCATCCCCCTCTGTCCCCTCTGCCGCACCCACAACTGCAGCAGCAACTGTAGCAGGAGCGGGAGCAGCAGGAGCAACAGCAGGAACAGCAGGAGGATTTGTACCAACATCTCATGGAGCCTCATTAAAAGGAACTACAGGGGAGGGACTAAGTCATGAGTTTGGAGACAGTTGCGGAGGAGACAGTAGAAGAGGGGGGACAGAGGGACTAAAGAAAGGACTAGAAATACCATTAACGCCGTTAGAGATGTGGCAAGCAAGACAAGTACTCAACCAAAGAGAATCAAGACCCTTACGTCTTAGCCGACTAGAAATGGTAGAGGCGTATGCTAAGTGTAAGCAGCAGCCGCAGCAACAACAAAAACAACGACGACACAACAACAACAGCAACAGCAGCAGCTAACAAAAACACAGACACCCAAATGCGGCAGCTGCAGCAGCAAATAGAAGCACATGCAATACAGCAGCAAACACCCTCAACCCCTCCTTCCCTTTATACCCATTCGGAGCCTCTCCTTGAGAGCCCTAGCGTTCATGTAGCCTCCAGAGCTTCCCATACACCACACAGCTGTCTGTATACCCCAGACCTGGCTATGCACCCCAGAGCTGCCTGTACACCGCACTGGATGGCACCCATGTCTGCTGTCTGCTGTCTGCAGCAACATTGTGCTTGTCGTGCGATTCGATGGAGCACAAGATTACGAATTGTCCCTTTGGGGAATTTGTTTGCCCTAATTGCCATCGATCCTCTCATAGAGGGGAGCATTGTCCGCTGGTCTGTCTCTGCTGCAGCAACTGTCTCCTTACTGTCCCCTTTAGCACGTACTGTGGCTTGCCTTTAGTTTCGCCTTGTCTGTGTGCCCTAGCTTGCCTATAATCTCTCTTCATGCCTCCTGTAGGTTGTCTACAATGTCTCTTCATGTCCCCTCTAGTTTGTTTATAATGTCCCTTCCTGTCTCCTCCATGCCTCCTAAACATTTATCTTGTCGATTGAGGTGTCGCTTTGCCGTATTGTTCTTTGCAGCCATGCAGATTTTGCTTTGAAAGGCATGCGGGAATATCTGTTAACGAATGCATTCGGGTCCGTTGCTGCTGCTGCTGCTTATGTATTTGTTGCTACTGCTGCTGTTCCGCCTTAGCCGGCTGCTGCTCCTTCAGTGTGTTGCTGCTGCATCTGTCAAACTCAGGGTTGTATTTCCTGGTGTGTTAAACGGGGCTGCAAGCTACAAACACAAACACGGACCCACACATTCATGTGTGCATGCATGCATGTGTGCATGCATTCATGCATGCATCCATACTTGCACATACCTGCATGCATGCATATGGCTGCATGCGCTTGTGTGTGTGTGTGTGTGTGTGTGTGTGTGTGTGTGTGTGTGTGTGTGTGTGTGTGTGTGTGTGTGTGTGCGTGTAATAGCGAACAGTACGTCAGCCTTTGGAGCGTTTGCTGGGGGTAAAGATGCCTTTAGATGCGTCTTTAAGTCTTCGACAGCGACAAGAAGAAGGAGAAGGGGGCAGCAGCGAGAGGGGAGGAGAGGGAGGCGATCCCTTAAGAGGGGGAAGTGTGGGGTGTGATAGACCCAATACACCCCACGGCCGCAGTGTATACGTAAGCAATATGTTGCCGGGGACGAGTAAGGAGACACTAAGAGCAGCAATTAATTTCTTATTGAAACATGGAGAAGTTGTAGGGGTAGAAATGAGAGAAAGAACAAATTATCTGCCTTATGCCTTCGTAGAACTCTCTTCCTTACAGGCGGCTTATGAACTTGTACAGTATAAAAGAGCTGCTCTTGTTATAGGGGAACAAGAGCTTAAGGTACAGTTTAAGAAAATAGGTCTTGCATGCTCCCATCCTGGTTCTTCTTCCCGTAACGGGAATTCAGCAGGATCAGCAGCAAATGCAGCGGGAGGAGCAGCAAATAATGGTCTTGATGACCAAGATACTGCTTCCTCCAGATCTACTGTCTCCCTCATGGCTCCCTTTACCCCTACAGGACAGTCTGTTAAAGATGTTTGTCGTCTTGTCGCTAGAAAACTATCCAGGGACTTTGGCATACCTATGCCGCCACCCCCACCCCTCTATGGAACAGCAGCAGGAGCTGGAGCAGCAGGAACACCAACAGGAGCAGCAGGAGGAACAGCAGGAGGAACAGCAGGAGCAGCAGCAGCAGGAGGAACAGCAGACCAGCAGGAGGTTTTTGCGCTCCTTGCCCATGGAAATGCCCCTCCAGCAACCCAAGGGACAGCACCAGCAGCTGCTACTGCTGCGGCAAACAATCGAGGAACAACCGCTGCATGCGCTCAGGGGACAGCTGCAGCCGGGGATGCAGCTGTCTCTAAGCAACAAAGGGGATCAGCAATGCAACAAGAGAAGTTGCCTTCCATTTCTTTGCCGTTAATGCAACCCCACACAAGAGACACACAAGCAGCAAGTGTCTCCACAAGGGACACTATAAAGACACTAGGAGACACCTTGCAGCCCTTTACCCCCCAGGCACTTCCCACAAACCCCACAACAGCAGCTAATCCGCATGCAGGCCTCCATACACTCGACCACTTGCACCCTCTTCACCAACAACAGCAGCAGCAGCAGGAGAGGACGCTGTTACAACGTGCTGTGGGAGCACCTACAAATGGCCTGCTGCCCTTTGAAAGACACGTCGATCTCCTTGCACACGAAAGGAGTCTCCTTATGGAAACAGAGACGGGGGGAGACAGTACTAGCAAACTGCAGCAGTTTAGGGGGAGCGAAGCGAGGCCCCACTGTGGGGACAGCCCCTCCACCTTGCCTCTGCAGCAGCAGCTGCAGCAACAGTTGCAACAGCAGCAGCTTCAGCACCAGCAGCTGCAGCAGCATGCGAACAGAGGGTTTAGCAACGACGAGGGAGCAGCGGAAGCAGCGTCTCTCTTTGTCTTGCAGACACTAGGAAGGCATTCAGCAGCAACAGCAGCAACGTGCGGAGACGGCGGCGACAGCAAACGGCCACTTCTTGAGTGTCTTGAGGGGCAGGACGGGGTGGGAGCAAAGAAGGTAAGGGAGGGGGAGACACCTGAGGAAGGGACAGTACAAGGAGAGGCACCTCCCGATCCCTTCGATCCCCTTCTTGACGATCCCAGACCCCACAGTATCCCCTCCTTAGGAGGCCCTCATCTCCTTAGCAGCAGCACTGGAGGAGACCCTGACCGTCCCCCGTTGCTGACTGTCCCCTCATTTATGGAGAAGGCACCGGGAGCATCAGCAGCAAGTGCAGCGCCAGCAGTAGCTGCTGCAGATGCAGGTGCTGTTGGAGCTAGTGCTGCTGCACCTGCAGCTGCTCTGCGGGATCCTTGGGCAAACCTAGTGGGTCCTCAAGGAGGAGGAGGAGACAGCTGCAGCACGCCGCCGTTAAGGGGGCAGCAAGGAGACAGCAGCAGCACACTTACTGCTACCCCTGCAACATCTCTATCGGGTAGCCTTGCTTGTGACTGTCTACCTTCTCCTTCTGTCTCTAACAGCATCAGTGTCCCTTTTGCAGCAAAGGAGACAGAAGAATCTCCTAGTCCCTCAGGGGAAGGAGAGGGGACAGCAGCAGCACAAGGGGGGCCTCCCCTAATAAACGGAGGGGGGGCCCCCAAGTGCTGCCCAAAGCAGCAGCAAACCCTCAATGCCTTTCTGCCTACGGCTGTAGCACTGCAGCAACAGGAAAGGGACAACATGAGGAGACACTTTATAGAAGAGGAGACAGAGAGGAGCAGCAAAGGCAGCAAAAATAAATCTGCCCTCTTAAGCCCTCCCCCCCAACAGCAACAGCAACAGCAGCTGTTGTACACCGCTAGCCCTATACTACGGGGGCCCCTAAATACCCCTCTCCCACCAGAAAACGGGGCCCCCCCACCTCCTTGTCTGATGTCTCCTCCTCCTCCCCCTCCTCCCCCTTCCCTCCCTCTATCGCGGCAATGCAGAGAGACACCAAAGAATTGTCAGCTGCAACGTCGCAGCCGCATGCAGCCCCAAAACCCCACAGCTTCTTACTTTGAAGTTGATGTCTCCGTGCTGCTGCGGCCTGTCTCCGATTACTTGGCGGGGGCTCCTGCTGCAGTTGCTGCTGCAGGCCCTAGGGACTTAAAGATTATGGCAGGAGAGGGGGAGAAAGGAGACAGTGGATATAACACCTGCAGTGCCTCATCTAATGAGGAACTGTCTCCTCCCTTGGCATTCTCCCGTAGAGCACACCAAATGGGTCTCCCTTGTCTATGGAGGGGCCTTAAGAAGGAAGCAGCACCAACAGGAAAAGATGATCCTCAGGGCCCCCCAAATCCAGCAGAAGAACTTGCTGCTGCTGCTTCTGTTGCTGCTACTGCTGCAGCAAACCCGCCAACCGCAGCACCTGCTTCCTCTCCGTCTCTTACACGCACAATTGGCAGCAAACTCAAGGGGCCCCCTGCCCCCCCACAGCAACAATCACCTGTCTCTAAACCCTCTCTCCCTGCTGTCTCCTCAGGTCTGTTGCAGTTCAATGCCCTTCGCTGGGGGCGCAGCAACATCTTCGAGTCCCCCTCTGGGGATCCGACCCCAGCGGGGACACCACCAGGCCTTGCTGCTGCTGTGGGTCAAGCTTGGGGGGAGACTGCAGCTGTTGCTCCGCAGGAATGGACACTGTCTCCTGCAGGAGGGCTACAGGGAAGCAGCAAACTTGGGACAGAAACAACAGATGCCGCTGCTGCTGTCTCCTACAACGGCTCCACCTTAGGCTCGCAAGTGACTGAGGGCGCTGAGGAGAGCGGTGAGCCGTCTTCGACTATGTTCCACTGCACCGGCAGCAGCAACAGCAGCAACTGCAGAACCAACAGAAGTAGCCGCTGCAGCAACAGCCGGAGCAGCACACATTCCAGCAAAGCAAGCCCCCAGCCAGCGGGCATATGGGGTGCTTCGCTTGCGTGTACATTGAGGCGCCCAAGGAGCAGCAGCACCAACAGCAGCAGCAGCAGCAACAGCAGCAGCGGTAACAGCAACAGCATTAACAGCAGCATTTCCTTGCAGAACGTCGCAGGGTCTTGTACCCCTCGCCGCTCCTTATCTGTCGTCTCCAAGGGACGGAGGGCCTTTAGCAGTGGGTCTAGGGTGACAGAAACTGCCAGTCAACAAAAGCAGCTCACCAGAAACACAAGCAGCAGCAGCAGCAGCCGCTTGCGTGGGCGTTCTCCAGGAGCCCCCCCCTCCTGGCTAACAAAAACTCAATCAGCGAACACCCGTAATTTCTTGCATATCCGGGGCGTGCATAGCACTGCTGAGAAGCAGCCGCAGCAGCAGCGGCAACAGCAGCAGCAACAACAGCAACAGAAGCATCAAAAACAGCAGGAGAACACCTCGGCCCAACCTCTTCAAGCTGAAGAAGTATCGCTGCTCCCACTTCACCGACGCGGCTCTAAAGAGCAGCGGCAGCATCAGCAACAGCAGAAGAAACAACAGGAGGAACAGCAGCAGCAGCGCCAACAGCTACTGGAAGAACCAGAACTGTTCCCTTACGAAGCTGACTCACTGGCTGACGATATGGAAATGAGGACAGGAGCCCCCAGTGACTTGAAGAGTAAGCTGCAGCAGCAACAGCAGCAGCAGCAGGAAGACAGTTTTAGAGAAGAGACTGTTCAGGGTGCAGCAGCAAGCAGCAGCAGCAGCAGCTTCGTTTCTTCTGCCCCTGTCAAGGCCGCAGTCCCTTCAACTGTCTCCGACCCCACAGTGGCCCTTCTCCTAGCGGTGAGGGTTGATAGGCCCTAGTATAGATATTCTGCATGCATGCATGCAGTTGCAGTTGCAACTGCTGCTGCTGCTGCTGCAGTGCTTAGTTTCCTTCTTTTCCCTTTGTCTGCGCCCCTTCAGCTGCTGAGTTTATTCCATGGGACGGCTGTGGTTGCTTTGCTGCTGCTGTTTTGCAGCAAATTGAAGACATCACGAAGCAGCTGCCTCCTCGAATAATTGACGCCTTCTGGGCATCTCTTGCGAACGCCCGCGCCAGCGTCACAGCAGCAGAAGCAGCAGCAGATCACCCTTCAGGAGCAGCAGCAGCAGGAGCAGCAGAAGACGTGACACCAGCAGCAACCACCACCACAACAGCACCAGCAGCCACAGACAGCCCCACAGGATGGGGCCCTCCGCCTTCTTCGCCCGGCTGTGGGGCCCTTGGCCCTGCAGAAGGCTAAGGGCAATATTGAATATTTCTTTCATATAAGAAAGTGTCTCCTGTTTTCTTTCGTTGCAGCTTAATGTCTCTTTTCTTCTTTAGTGCCTTTTATTATTACTAGGAGACACCTGCTTCTGTCACATTGAAGACACACTTGGGGGGGTTACATGGGGATCGCTTGTCTTTAACTGCATGCATTCTTGCTGCAGTTCCAGGCCTCTGCTGCTCTTTGCTGCTTTCTGTTTGCACCTTCAGCAGCAGCAGCAGCCTCTACAGCAGACAGCTCTTGTGGACCTGCTGCAGCTGCAGCCAGCAAACGCCGGCCTCCGTTGCATGCTTTTTCTTTTTCTCCTTAACACGCTACACAGGCTGTTTCACCCTTGCTGCAGCTGCGGCTGTTGCTGCTGCTGCTGCTGCTGCTGCTGCAGCTGCTGCTTTGAAGGCAGCAGCAGCTGCGGCAGCAACGCAGATGCGGTTTGGAGTTAAATTGTCCATGACATGTGTCTTTATGCATCGCCAGTTGCATAACGCTTGTTCTCTGCTGCTGCTTCTGCTGCACCTCTGGCCGGGTCATGCAGACAGCAGCAAATAGCCAGTGCAGGCAAACAGCAGCAAACAACCAGAGCATGCAAAGGAAGCAATTTAGGAGCCGTTGCTTCTGCTGAAGCTCCTGCAGTTTTCTCCTCGTTTCCCCGGTTTTTGCTTTCGACCCCTCAACTGCCTCAATTTGAATAAACTCACAAACAGTGCAGCAAGTGCAGCAAGCGCAGCAAATCCAACAACTAACTCAACTGCAGCAATTGAAGCAACTGAAGCAGTTGTAGCGGCTGCAGCAACTGCAGCGATTGAAGCAACCGATGCAACTGCAGCACCTGCGGCAAGCGCAACGCCTGCTCTGAGCTGCTGCATGCATGAAGCAGCTGCTGTGGGGTCAGAAACAACACTTCTCTGCTGCTTCGCTGCAACAGCCTCCAGAGTTGGGGTTTGAATTAGCATGCAACAGCAGCACGACTGCGAGGATGCATAGAATGCTGCCTCGTTTCTCCCTGCGTCTTCATCTAATGCTGCTGCACGTAGGTTTTAGGGTTTAGGCTATATACATGCAGCAGTGCTTCCTGAATTAAGCACCAAATTACTGCTTATTTTACCCTTATTGGCTTGTTCTGTATAATATGTGCTTATATGTATATTCTTTGTTGACTTGTGCTGTTTTATATTTTTGTACATGTACTTTGCCGCGTGCCACCTCTGGGAAGCTAGCGCAATCCATAAATCTTGCAAAACACATTCTGCATAGATGGCCAACAGTTTGATTGGGCCAACCCAACGCACTCCACAAATACTCCCCCTCCTAACAGCGAACCCCGCATCCTACCTGAACTCAAGGGCAGACAACACAGACAATCGACTGCCTTCTATATAATGCCTTACATCTCGATACCTAATCAATCCGAAACCACGTCTACAGATGCCTAGCATCTCCGGCACTACGGAATTACACATACAGCAACAGTTAATGAGAAACAAGGATCAAAGTTCCGGACTTCCGCCAGGAAAGGGATGGCAACTGCACACTTGCCCATGGAGAGTTCGTCACCAAGATGCACCACCCAAATACCTACGAAAACACACTTACCGCGGAAATTAACGACGATAAAATTGCGCACCCATATCACCATAGGCAACGCGTACACTACCTACTCGTGTTCTGACTTGATGCCCGCTGTCGCCCAGTTAACGTCGGAGACTACTCTGCCAATGAAAAAACAGAACACGAGTGCACAGTGGCAAGAGCAGGCACTCGGCAGCAGGGTGCGTTAAGCTATCTTTGAACTGCCTTCAGCATATCAACCAAAACGACGGACAACAGTGAAGGCTCCCTGAGGTCTCTTGCCGCAGACGCTGCATATTCTCGTCAACCCAACCTGAGTACGTAATGCCTATGGCTATCAGGGAACTCATGAATTGTCAACGTTACTCTGCATGCAGCCCACGCAAAATACGCAGCAATCGTATAACCTCCCCGAAAACAGTCCGCCATGCCCTAACGCTGCCAGCCTTGAGGAACCAGATGGCACAAGCATGCGCAACCCTTTGTCAGCTAGTCGCTTCTCATGCTTCCTTGCAGCAGGATGTTCAAGCGCATACACAACGTAGAAAGGAACGCACCAACTGCTGAGCTACCTCGTTCGTTAGGTAGGTACTGGACCATAAGGCTTCGGCAAGATCTTCGGGAATATAACGCGGAAGCAAAATGGAATATGCTGCTGCTGCAGATCGGAACACTCATTCGCTGCATAGGCATGAGACTGAACAGAGTCACGCGCAGCACACACCAGCTCGAACTGATGCAGAGATCAGAGCATTAATTCGTCGGACCAGCATGCAACTGAAAACAGGCAAGCATACCGCAGGCCAAAACGCACCTACAAACCGAGCACTTAACACACCTTCCTCCATGTGCACTTCACAAACACCTAGTGCGCTGTGAGCTCCATGCATCGAGCGAAACGTACGGCCTTTTGTGTTAAAGGAAGTGCGTTGGCACTCTCACTTGACCTCCAGGAGTTGCGAATAGGAAGCAATGCAGATTCCCGAGTATACGTACATAGTCACTTCTTCGCGTGCACAGCGTCCATGCTGTTGTGCTGCTCGCGCGCGCACGGCAACAGTCTGCTTGTAACAGTTTATGAGGGAGCTTTGCTTGCGCCAAGCCAAAGCAGGCAAGAGCTGCCTGTTGGATCATGCCTGTAGGAGCATGCCTGCTTCAGTCGTTCCAGTTCACCCCTACTTCCATCGTCTGCTTAAACCTAAGTCACCTTACTCATCGTACACTCATGCTCACACATCATTGCTCGTGCACTGATCCCGGAAACTTAGCAAGTATGGATCTGCTCTCCTCAGAACATACAGAGGAAACAAGTGTGCGCGAACACGAAAGATTCAGTTGAACGCAAGATGCGTAAGAAAAGCCATTAAGGAACAGCCATCCGAAATGCAGAAACCGTTGGCCATCCCTGCAAGCATCTAGGGAGCTGTCTTGTACACTTGCGCCAAGTTACGTTGTGGCCGGGGTAGGGCGAGGTTAGCGTTAACGCCAGCATCAGCGCGAAAAGAATGACTCTGGCGCCCTGACTCTGAGGGGCTTTATTGTTGTTACAGGAGCTGTCGTTCAGGCATAGATGACTTGAAGCCTAAAACGTGAGAAATCAAGTGAGGATAAGCACAATTATTCGTGGCTAGTTCGTGTGATCTCCAGTTTGACGACAAACGGGGATTATGGTCGATTTTCAAGTTCCTCTCCCCTCTTGTACATGAAGTAATTCATGCAGTGCTTGTATTGCGTTTCTTCGCCGGCAACTTCAAAACCGAACCCTTCCCTGCATGTACCTTCAATGGTCAAGTATGGCAATGTGTTATTTGCTTCCTTAAGATCCGAAGTGGCCGCTGGTCGACGGGAAACAATGCTGCCGGATCTGCGGAGTTCTATTCGAAGCACAGGGTGGGTGAGCTTCTGTGCTTAAGTACTTTCTATACTTTGGCATTTGCTGGGTACAGAAAACTCTCGTCGACTGGACAGCGGAGTCGGAATATTATTATGAATGCTGCAGATCTACACGGCATAAGCAGGCAAAGTCACTAATCGCTGGCAGTGGCATGTGAGCATTTGCATGTTTCCGTAGTGGCGCCTTGCAGGCATTTTCTGATGTGAACTCTATAATATCCGTACTTGGGCGCATAAGTAACGTTTCCTGCGCATTCATTTGTTTTTACTTAACCGTCGCTCACTGGTGCCGAATTGGTGCTCCTATTGATGCTGTGATGAATAATTCTCCTGCCTGACTTCTCCAGCACAGCCTTGTCAGTGGTGACGTTTCTCCGGAAACAACAGTGGGCC